GATTGGTTGCTGGTTTTTCCTTATTTGTATGCTGTTGAAAAAAGGGGAAAAATTAATTTTTATTTTAATTTGATGACAGGATTTGACTTTTGACTGGAAGGATTCCATAAGAATTAGGATTTGGAATGGTCATCAGGAGAAAAACATAAAACTATGCTTAGGTTTAGCTAAAGGATTATTCTAACAAGCCCGCCCCCTCCCCCCTAGGAGAGTTTTAGAAAATTGTATTCCAATTTCAGATTGGGAAAATGGACAAAAATAAATAAATAAATAAAAATTTCTCTCACTAATGCCTCTCTCTATGTATTTATTTTCGTTTTGTTTTAATTTGCTTTTGAGAGAAAATTATTCAAATTGTGAAATGTTAGAATCTAATTAATTGGAAATAACTGAAGACTTGTTTTGTACATTACATTAAACAAGCTTGAAAATGATAAGACAAATATTTTATCTTATTTCATCTAGTTCTATGGTTTGCATTCGAATATATCCAAAGTTTTTTTTTGAGAACGGTAACAGAAATAGTAGTGAATCCAGCTTATTATGAATATGCAATTAAAATTAATATTTCATTTTGAATGAATTTATAAATGATTTATAAATTTATATCCAAACGACGGCTAAGCTATTGAATGGAATTCAATTGGTTGATTTAAAGAAATGTGTCAATGAATCATTGGGTGGACAGCAAGTTGGAAGCCAATGTTGATTCTGAGTTCATTTCTAACCTGGACTCTTTTATGTATACGAAACTTGTCTGCTACTATGAACAAATTCTACTTTTTAATTAAAACATTATATAATATTACAGATTGGAAAAAGAATATATTTGAAATTACATTTCATTCATTGTGTTGTTTGTAAAATTGAATACATGAAAACTACACCAAACTTACAAGAGAATTTCAGAAGAATGAAACAAGAAAAGGTTTGGTTCCTTGACCTAAAATAAATGAATAAGAAAATTAGTTTTCTTGATGATAGCTTCTTTACTATGGTACAGTCCACTGTTAATATAATTGTTGTTACTTCTATGGTGGGCTTTATTTACTATTAGTAGCCATTCCAAACTGAACCATTTGCTCTGGATACGCATCATCAGCTGCAAGTAGTGGTGGTGGCGGCGCCGGCGCCACACTACGCCCTGCAAAATTCTTCTCGCTAATAGAGCTCCGGCATGGCCTACCACCACTGCCACCGACCCACGTGCATCCATTTGGCGAAGGCGGGTTAACGGTCTTCAAGGATGGTAACAGTAGATGTCCCGTTTTCATCCACTGTTTTTGTTCTTTATCAAGAATTCTTGCAGCTCCGTAGGGTTTAATGTTTAGAATAAAAATTATTGCTACGATTGCTAAGAGAAGATTTTGGGCCTTCATCTTGTTCAACAAGTAAAGGGAATTTTTCACTGGAAAATAGATGCAAATTGAAGATGTGTTTGTAATATTTTGTAGATATGTAATGTCTGTGGGTGTATATATAGTGCATGAAAAGAGAAAACTGTGAAGATTTACGACTTGAATATCATATTTTTAATTTTATGGCATATGCTTTGACTATTGACTCAAGAGATTTGAATAAAATTAGATATGAATGGGTCATGACGAGTGGAGAAAACAAGGTTTATCTAAACTATAGTTCCCATTTTATAATTATTTTAATTTCTTTTCAAATGAAAATCTTTTCTTTTTTTGCTAGTTGTTCTTGTTTCTCGACCCAACTTAACGGTTTCAATAGTGGACAGTGGATACATATATACTTGGCTCCGGTTTGCCTTTCATTTTTTAAAACTCATTTTCAAACTACATAATCCATGAAATCCACAACTTTTTAACACATATTCAATTTGCTTTTATACGATCTATTCAGGAAATAGAGAAAAAAATCCTAAGATAATTTATATAAAAATTGAAATCAAATGAAATATTTATTTTTTTTCATGTCAAACATAACGTGTTATCTTGAATTGACTGGGGCTTTAGTTCTACGCCTTTGCATGTTTGAAGTTTTGGCTCAAATATTTTGTTCCGTGGCATCAAGGGCAAGTTAATGCAACAGTATAATCAAGAAAGTATACATAAGTTTAAGAAAACAAGGCACAAACTTCCATTTGTAATTGAAGATCACCACGGACGTGAAGGAAAAATCCAAATTCTTATGGGCAAATTCATTCTCCCTCGACATATGCATCCTTGTTAAGAAATTTCCTCATAGTAATCCATTCTAACCTCTAGGTTTACAATGTCAACCGTGTTAGACATGAAAAGGATAGAATTTGTGAGCACCAATATTCTTGGTTTGTCTATATGCATCTGTTTTGGAAAATAAACCGTGTACATTGGAAGTCATTTCACTACTTTGAGGTGAAATGTAAAGGTCTCCTAAAGAACAACCTAAGATGGAAATCATTTCACTAAATTAAAAATGAAACAAATTTTTTGTATTGTTCGTATCAACAACTGTAACTTCATTGACTGCGGACCAAGTAGGCACGAGCTTCTGCTAGGAATTTTAGGGAATTAGAATTCTACTTTGCTTATGACCCGTAAAGTTGACCTTGAGCGAAGTTTTTCACGATTGATAAGTTCTACCTAGATTAGAATTGGACTAGATCATCGGGAGTATGAATCTAAGTTGGTGGTGGAGTTATGGTATTTTTTGTATTATACATCTATATCAAGTTAAGTAAGTGTATAATAGAGGAAAAATCAATTTTTGTTATGTATGTACTGCAATATTGTAAAATGTACAAATCACAAGTGAGATTGTAGGTAAGTTTCTATTACCATTAGGTTTCACCAAAGTTCACTCCCAATCCCAATTTTTAGCTTTAGTAATGGATGACCATAGGAGATGAGGGTAGGAAATATAACACAATAAAGAAAAAGACTTTAGCTTACAAAATATAAATTGTTGGTTGTTAAATTTTCGATTTTTTATTTAGGAGACAAGGTTTCAAATCTTCCCGACCACAATATTATTTTTCTTTCTAAATTTTAAAAATATTGTGCAATGATCAGTTCCCAACATTTAGGACCTCTAGAAAAATTTGTCCCAAGCTTCTGATTAAGATTGTCATCCCCATCCTTAAATTTCATTTGCATATTTTCGCCATTTTACATAATTTCGTTAATATCAACATAAATTTTCCTCACATGAGATGCACGAGCTAATTTTTGTGTGTGTATATCTATGTACAAAAATGCTGGTTGTCCCGGGATTATATCTTGGGTCAAACCAAGGGTGCCATTTGGCGCCTCCCCTATTGGAGGGGGATATGCTCCTCTAATAGCTACACAAATTGACGCGAAACTATATCTAAAATAACATATTACAAATTTCGCGCCAATGAACGTGTTAAACATATCAAGAGAGACGACAAATATGTATGAATGTACATGCTGCCACAATATCTTTTTGTGAAAACTGATATAGTCATCAAGCTATACAGAGTACAATTTTTAGCTTTAGTAATGGATGGTCATAGGAGATGAGGGTAGGAAATATAACACAATAAAGAAAAAGACTTTAGCTTACAAAATATAAATTGTTGGTTGTTAAATTTTCGATTTTTTATTTAGGAGATAAGGTTTCAAATCTTCCCGACCACAATATTATTTTTCTTTCTAAATTTTAAAAATATTGTGCAATGATCAGTTCCCAACATTTAGGTCCTCTAGAAAAATTTGTCCCAACCTTCTGATTAAGATTGTCATCCCCATCCTTAAATTTCATTTGCATATTTTCGTCATTTTACATAATTTCGTTAATATCAACATAAATTTTCCTCACATGAGATGCACGAGCTAATTTTTGTGTGTGTATATCTATGTACAAAAATGCTGGTTGTCCCGAGATTAAATCCTGGGTCAAACCAAGGGTGCCATTTGGCGCCCCCTTATTGGAGGGGGATATGCTCCTCTAATAGGTTTGACCCGGGATTTAATCCCGGGACAAGTATATCAATATGTATATATAGTGCATGAAAATAGGAAAAAAAAAAAAAAAGATTGTGTGTCTTGAATTATTCTTGTTTCAATTTTATGACATAGGATTTGACTATTGACTTGGAGGATCAACATAAAATTAGAAATTGAATGAGTCATGTTAAGGGAAAAAAACGCAAGTTTTGGTTTAAGAAATTCGCCTACAAATCCATGGACATACACCAGTCCAAGAGTTCGGAATTAAATCCCTTTTATAAAGAAGTATTTTTTGAAAAATATTTTTTCTTTTTGTAAATATGTGATTGAAAATATGTGGGAGATAAGTGATTTTCAAAGAATTAAAATCAAACAAGATTTTAGTATTTTTTTCGTTTTTTAAAAAATAACAAACCAATTCTCGATTGTAGATAAATATGTATTCTTTCGTTTTATTAGTATTATAAATACTAAGCAAGAAGTAGTATTTGGTTTGACCAATTGAAACTAAGTTTTGAAAAAGTTAAATCAAAATTTTAACACTCCAAAAAGGGCAAGAAATGGTACGATTGTTTAACATTACATTAAAACAATTGTTCAATAACAAGACGTTATTCCTAGAAGTTTTGGCCTCAAATATATGTTACAGAGAGTAACACTATTCAATTCCGCAGCCAAGTCATACAACTCGGCTGATGTACGACGCAAAATACAAAATCGTGTATGTTATCATGTATAGCGTTATTTAATACTACGTACTAAATAGGATTTCATTTGAGACAAACGAGTACATAACAATCCACAGTCCATTTAAAGGTAGCTACACAAATTGAAGCGAAACTATATCTAAAATAACATATTACAGATTTCGCGCCAATGAACGTGTTTAACATATCAAGAGAGATGAGAAATATGTATGAATGTACATGCTGCCACAATATCTTTTTGTGAAAACTGATATAGTCATCAAGCTATACAGAGTTATATACAAATAGGGTATCCAGCATGGGATTGCATATCAAATGGGAACTACTCAGTTACGAAAGCCAACTACATATATCAAGAAAATCGATGGATCTACAGTCGAATGGTGCACATAACTGCTGTTTTGAAATCGATAGGGTGATGAAAGGGTGGCTTTGTAACAAGGGATCTCCACGTCCTCTTCCTAGGCTGATATATTTGTATTAGCAGTGTTGCTGACCTCTTATGCTGTCGCGATCGTAGGCTCTCCATTGAATCATTTCCATTCAGAGGGGTAAGTAAGTGCAGCTCCCCATCTAATGCCACAAACCCAACTGACGAATCATCTGAAGCTTTTTTAGGCACACTTGTCTCCTTTATCCAGCTATTAGAAGCCATATTATACCTGTATCATAGGTGAAACCCAAAGAAAGTATATAAATAGACATCCAAATGCATATAGATAAAGACAATAAGGTGGTAAGGATCATAAAAATTAGATGAGTCTTGATGCGGCTGCCACCCCATTAGAAGTCTCAACCAATATAAGTCGAAACTTTGGTAATCGACAGAAAAATTAAAAGAGGGTGAAGCTGAAAAAATTATTTGTATTTTTCCCGTGTTCTTTCTTCTGTTCATTACACTTTCAAGCATGGAAAGGCATTCAGCCAAAGCATCCCATATCCAGGGTTTCAAAATCATTCTGTTGTTCATGTACACTTCATCGCTAGCTCATCACTGTTGCACTTCCCAAAATTGCTGGTTTCATCTTTCTTAGTCATATAATTAAAATTTTCAACCTTCTTATCATCTCCTCTCTAAGACAAGCAAGTAAACAGTCTTCTTTTTCTCTGCACGTTCATAAGTTTGAAGGGTCGGGGTACCCACTTCCAACGACTTCAGCCAGCACAAGAAGCCACTCATATATTGGAAGTATTCACATAGCTTTGAGCATGTTTAGTGAAGCTCAATAAAGAGGCAAATTTACTTCTTTAAGAAGTGGGTAAGATGTGGCTTCTAAGAAAGCCAATTTTTTGTACTAAAAATTCAAAAAAGAAGCAAGAAGCCAAACATGTTGGCCAAGCTTGGAAGTTGCTTCTATATTTTATACAACAAAGTTACTTCTTTTATAGGCTTGGCCAAACACGCTCGTCGAAGATCGGCGGAAATATGCCTATGAACAGAAAAATCAGATGAGCATTCTATTTCATTTCTTGTCTCCTTAGTCAGCTTACCATTCACAACCAAAGTCCAGCACATGTGCAAGTCATTCAAATAGTTTCTTTATAGATGCAGAATATTTAATATGTGTACTGCCAACCAAAAGTTTCACATCATGAGATTTATATCATGACCAAATTTAGTGTATATAGATGCCATCTTGAGATAGCGTGTCTAAAGATTTATATTATGACCAAATTTAGTGTCTCTAGACGCCATCTTGAGTTAGCCACGAGGAAACAAATAATTCCTTCAGTCCACCACGGCAAATTAAGTTCTCACTCATAAATACAGGAAAAAACAAAAGAAGCAACATGAAATAGATTAAATAGAAAACTAAGGAGTACGTCAAAGCTGAATATATAGCCTCCCCAAGTTTTGAAGAAAGAGTGAGATGGTGGCGAAAACAATCCTCCAAGGGAGAGGGAAGGAGGGAGGACAGTGTCACCACATTCTCAATTTTCTGGCCCACTATATGATCATTCATGTCATTCCAACCTTTCAATTACCATGCCAATCCCATCAATAACACATGACACTCAAACATGATATGAAAAATGTTCTCAACCCATAATAAATGGACACAAATCTACAATGCATAACACAAGTGCCAAATATACAGATAGAGAAATTTACTGAGTAAAAAGAAGTGTCCCTACTTATCTTTTTCAATATATATTATATTTGAAAAGCTACCACTCTAATACTTTTGCAATTATAAAATTTAAGTATAAAATTTTGACAGCATACTGTAATAGCTAGCAACTTTCACGAACATTGCATTTAGTCACCACACCCAATATTAGGACACATTTTTGTCCAAATCCTCAATTCTTAGTATTTCAAAATACAGGTGTCCAACAACTAGATCTACACCAATACCAAAGACTTAGTAAGATGGCTCAGTGTCACTTATCATAAATTTCCATATGAATAATCCAGTCACCCAGAATATGTAATATTTCACAGATATATAAAGCATGTTTCAAATATAAGCTAAATTGAAGTTCACATATTGTTAGAACAAACAAAGAAATGTCCTCTCTAAGTGTGAAAAAAAAATACATCAAATGCATAAATAGAGAAATAAGAGCCAATATAGGAACTAATCAATGACATCAGGATACACACCCGAACATCATCTACATTTAACCAATAACAGCAGGTACCTCGAGTGTGCTAGGATTCACTGTGTACAGATATCATGAAATATTAAGGTGATAATCACCCACAAAATCCTCGAACTAATAATTCTTCACATAAGCTTACTTTAACTTTGAAGCTGGTTACCTGTCTAATTTATTATATTATTTCAGTAGCTGATCATAGAACATACAATCCTAAATTTACAGATGAATCAAAGAGGAGATGCACCAATTCACATAATTAGAATAGAACAATTCCCATGAAGCATACAAAGCTAATAATCTCTGCTAATTACCTGAATATTTCGCTCCTGTCAAGCATGAAAATCTCGGGAACATCTTGTCCCTCATCCTCTACCACAACAATTTTACCGAGTCTCCACCTCTCCCCTTCCTCCCACATATCCCCGAGTTCCCTCCATTTCCCATCATTCTTCAACTCCATCACCACTGCATCCCTGTAATATTCATCCACCGGAAACACCCCTGAGACCATCCTCGACTCTCCATATCCTCCCATAACCCAAAACTCCCTTCTTCCAAGAAAAAAACCCACACATCCTGCCCTAAACCTTGGCAGCCCATCCAATGCGACCCACTCATCCTTCACAATGTCATACATCTCCACTGAGCTCATCCTGCTCCCTGCCGCCCCAAACATCGTGTGCCGAGACCCACCCCCTGCCACCACAATCTTATTGAAATCCGGCAAAGCGGCACATGCAAAACTGCCACGAGGAGTGATCATGGGTGACAATATATTCCAAGAAAAATTCATGAAATCGAACCGAAATGCAGATGATGATGGTGAAGGGCGGTCAAGGGGGAACGACCTGGTATCAAAGAGTGACCCACCGAGCACATACAAGTGAGGTCCAACAGAAAGGGAAATGAAATTACAGAGTCCATACACATAGGGGTTACAGGGCATAGGCGGAAGGGGGCACCAGCAGAGATTTTTGTGGTCAAACAGATACGGAGAGGAAATAGAAGGGTCCTGAGGGAAAATACAGAGCAGATGAGGAGCAAGAACATAATTCTGGCGAATGGCAATTAGGGATTTTGAAGAAAAGAATCGTTTCCATGATTTACAGGTGGATTTGACACGGGAATGGTGAGAATACGGAATGAATGCTAAAATCAGGGCCGCTAAATCATTTGGGAGCCCTGGAATTAGAGTGAAGATTGGGGTTTGGATCTCGACTTCTTCAAACGATGCAGGTGGTGGCATTTCTGAATCAATTAATCGAAAATTCACCAATTTATTGGATAACTGTCATGTTTCTTCCCAATCAAAAAATTGTAGCTACAAATTCTACTGTAGACGAAGATTACACACAGAAAAAATGTATAACACTGTATAACAATGGATGCGCAGGGTATAACAGGCAATTTTTTCAGTCGCGTACTGATTCAATAGGAAAAAAAAGGTTAATGGCGGTTTCTTCCTTGGCAATACCAATAATGCGTGCTGGAAAAAATGAAAATCAAAACAAAAAGTCCAATTTTTTTGTTTGTTAACGTACATATTTTCTACGCATGCTCGAGAACTTTTCTTTGTAATGTTATTTAACATAATCATAAATCAATGCACGATATTAAATGATAGATTTAATTAAATGAAATGTCATATAATTTATTTAATTGAACCTATAAGGTGTAACCATCTAAATTTGTGTCTAATACTATTGATATAGATAGCATTATTCGACAGAAAAATGTAAGAATTTGAACCAAAAAAAATGATTTTTTCTACCATCCCTTTTTCGAGTGGTTATTGAACTTCATTATGTTTTTTAATAAAGTTTATTTTCTATAAGATTCGACTTAGATCAGGAAAATCAAACAAATATCAAATATATAATGAAACTATCATTCTAAGAAGAGAATATTGATATTGGTTAAGAATATTTCTAATTGTCAAGAGTCATGTTCAAGGACAAAGAGGAATGTCGGCTTCAAATTGATATAAGTCTTAATTTATATCATAATCTACCTTTTATGTCGAGAATATACAATATAAAAAATAATTCTTTATTTCGATTAAGATTGTAATTTGTAGATCATAATCAAGAAAAAATTATCTCAAAAAGGCATAGAAATTTTCAATTTGATATTAACAAAATATAATTTTTAGAGTTCTTACAAAGTAATTCAAGTAAAGAAGGACTTTATTTTCATGTATGGTATTTTATATTTCAAAATTTTTAATTTTTTGAACAATTGCATTTAGCAATCACTCATATGCATTTTAAAGTTCAATGAGTAAATTGTGACGAAAGCATATATTCAATGATTAATGAAACATGACGAGCGAGTGATAGAATACAATATGTTAAATTTCAGTGATTACTTGAAAACATTGCGACTAATGAAATATGTTGAGTGGATGATGAAGTGTAACATGTTAAAGTTCGGTGACCACTAGAAAATATTTTAAAAGTTAGTGAATAAAGTGTGACAAATGTATAAATTCAATGACTACTGAAACATTTAACTCGATAATCTTCGATAAAAATAAATCCATTTTGAATTTTTATTTCGTGAATAATTAATATGAAATACAATCTTTCCTGTCTTAGAATATGAAATCCTTTTTGAATTTTAATTTTGAATAATTAATATGAATTTTTATTTGTGAATAATTTTGATTTTATTTTGATCATTTTTTCGATTTTTGAAGCGATTCATGGATATATTCAAGTTGATAGGTCAATCTTTCCTTTCTTAGAATAAATTTGATGGGTAGGAAGTGAGGAACTTGAGTCCCCCAATATGGGGAGCCTTATGACTTTGGTCGATATAATGTAAAATAATTTCACCTTTTGTTGAAACTTCTGATGGTTCTCAAATTGATTTTTAAAATGCGATTCCTCGTGTTCAACTCTCAATATAGTCCAGTAGATGTGAACGTTCTATTTGCATTTTTGTTCCATTACTCGAGAAATTAAAGTTAATCTTGACGATATCTTCTTCATAATAAAAATCCTTAAATTTCATTTAATGAAAAAAAATGTATAAAAAAAGAAAAAAAAAACCTGAAATAAAATTAAATTAAAAAAATCCATTTATCTTCCTACATCCAGCGAACCCCCACCTCCAGGTCACTCACAATCGCGGGCCAAGTTCTTCCCATAGTTTCATATAATTTTTTTCTACTATTAATCAAAATAATCTGATCTCACAAAATTTTCGAGTGCATTTAATATGGTGTGAAGAGATTCTTTTATAGAATGGCCAAGTAAATCTCCATGAAATTGAGCCCCTCGTTATCCGAAGAAAATAGAGTTTTGAATAATAATTTTTAGGAGAATGTGCAGTTAAAAAGTAGGAAATAATTGTGAATTTACGTGCATAATAATTTATCGTGTGAATGTGTGTTGAAAATGAGTATGCAAGATTTTTTTGAAATAATGGTTGTCAAACAAGGAGTTGAATAAATCTTAGAATGTGGAGGTGGTAAAGAAATAATATTAGTTAAGGGCTCTCTGGGAGGGAATTTTTTTGGGCCAAACAATTGATTTTTTATCCCTTTTTTTAAAACCTGCAGGCCAACTGTGAGAGAGTGAGTCAAAAGTTGTGACTCCCAACGGCTAGAAAATTGATGGCAACTGCTAGAATTGTGCTATTCAGCAGAAATAGACAGCCCCTTCGTAGTAATGAATCAAAGCTAGAAAATGCAAAAAGAAAGAAAGAGAGAGAGAGAGAGAGAGAGAGAGAGAGAGAGAGAGAGAAAAAAATACTGAAAATGTGTTCTTTTTTATAGGCAAAATTCAAGAATTAACCAAAAAAAAAAATACTAGAAAACAACAAAAAACAAATGCTCTAGATAAGTCTCTAAAGAAATACATTAGAGGAATGATCAAACGATCACTCGTACTCATCTTATGTTAAGTATCGACGACATGTAATGTAAATTCATTGGTGAATAAAGATTCGGTGGATCTCAACATTTGAATTAAATTTATGATCCACATGTGAATTAATATGAAACATTATTGGTGTTCAGTATAAGATGAGCATCGATATTTATTAGATCATTCCTCTAAATTGTTAAGAGATAAAATTCAAGAAGTTCCTGAAGAAAAGTTACTCCCAAAATAACATGAATTCGAATGATGAACACAAGAACAAGGTATTGGTTGTGAGCTATATGTAGAAAAATTCACTCCTACAAAAATAAAGAAATTGAAATTTTAAATACTTGTCATTACTATTTTCATCGCTCGAGGCAGCGACGGGGGCTATGGTGGTGGCTAAGAAATGTGCAGAAATGATCTAATGAGCACAGGTGCTCATCTTATTCTAAACACCAATGAGTTGGCACAGTAATTCATTGGTGGATTGGAACTCACAAAATCTTTATCCACCAATGAANGCTCGAGGCAGCGACGGGGGCTATGGTGGTGGCTAAGAAATGTGCAGAAATGATCTAATGAGCACCGGTGCTCATTAGATCATTTCTGAAGAAATGTGTGCAAAGATTTATCCAAAGATTAGGATAAATGAAGATAACTAGTGACTTATTTTTATTTTTATTATTGTATTTTTTTTCTTGTTAAGTCATAGTAATGGCGAGTTTGGATAAAAACTGTCATCGAGGACAATTGCTCTTAATTTGTTAAGTCCCCGACTTTTTTAAAATAAAGTAATTTATTTTTCATACTCATTTTCAATTATACATTTACACAATAAAATATTTTTTCCCATTTTTTAATCACACATTCTCTAAAAATCACGATTAAATCTCATTTTTACACAATAATTGCCATCAAACATAGGCTAAAAGTGAAGGATATGGGTGCCAAGAAATAAAGGTTGGGGATAGAAGTGCAACAATGGGTAAAAGTTGGGGACATCAATCACAATTTACCCTTTGATAAATTGGTATTAGTAATTAATATTCTTTTGCATATGAAATTTTTTATTTCCAAACTCAAAAAAAAAAAAAATGATGCATGCACTGATGCACTATTATCGCACATTGAATTCAACCAGGTCAAAATGCAAAATTAAAAATAAAAGAGCCACAAACATGCACAGCCAAGAATTCAGCCTCCGACAACGTAGGATTCTCAGAAGAATGTCACTCCGTCCACAAACCCATTCCCATTCCATGCATCAAACATCAATCTTCGATCCAACGGTCACTTTTTTCTCACCATTACACACACCTCTCTCTCTCGAGAATCAGAAACCCAAAACTCAAAACTCATTGCCGATTACGATTCACCGGCCATTTTCTGTTTATTTCACGACGTTTTTTCAATATTCAGGCGGAACCCAGTGCTTGACCCATTGCGATTTAGGTGCCAGAGTTGGTCTGAAATTAAAGGGAAAGATGTATCCTTTGCTGAAGAATTGGATGTAGTCGAGTTTTTGTTGTGTAAATTAAAATGGTATGGAACCCTTGAACTCAGTGGCTGTATTGTATTGCGTTTAATTTGTTGAGTGTGATCTGGGAATTATTCAAATGTACATTTAGAATTTTCTGGAACTAATCTGATATTACTTAACCTCTGCATCAATTTGATATTGTTTAGAGGTTATGAAGTGTGTTTTTGTATGCAAACGAGTATAGACTGTATTGAGGTGTAGTGAAGGGTTCATCGGGTTAGACTTCATAATTCTTACCGGTTTGTTAATAGGATCTTGGCTATGAATAAATTATTAAAGAGTTTCGCGTAAATCATGTATTTTTAGCATTTTATAAGGTTACTTTCTGAAATACCTCGTGAACTCCCAATGCAGGGCACACCGGTTAATATCATTGTCGGTTCTCATATTTGGGTTGAGGACCATGACGTTTCTTGGATCGATGGTCAAGTAACGAAAATAAATGGACAGGAAGTTGAGGTCAAAACATCCGATGGTAGGCAGGTAAACTAAAGTTTTTTGCTTTAAACAGCTCTGTTCGTAAATTTTATTCAGTAATCCTGTATACTTGGGTTACATTCTGTGTATCAAGGGAGTTTAATTTTGCCTTATTTTATTTTATTTATTTATTTTTGTCTAAGAGTCTACTAAAAATTTATACGAAAAATTACTATGCACTTAGCATTGACCATTCCGCTGTTAATTTTTATCATTAGTATTTTTTTGGCTTTGGGCTGTGATTGCTTTAAAATTATACCAGTGCACATGTCTGTTATTTGAAAGAACTATTTCTTGCTCCCTCTGTTAGTTCTACTCGTATTCGCACAAGAAGAGAAAAAACTTACATTGGTTAGCGTCCATGTTGTTTTTTTTTTGTTTATGGACAAATATATCCCTTTCTTCTTATTTACATTCTTAGCTCATTTCAGTTATGTTACTAGTTAGGATCAACGTATATCATAATATAAATTGTTTTCATAGCAAGTTTCTAACTAGAGATTTTGTTCACTTACTTTATTTTTTTCCAACTTATCAAGGTTGTTGCTAATTTAGCAAAAATATATCCTAAAGATGAGGATGCACCTGCCGGTGGAGTTGATGACATGACCAAACTATCTTATTTGCACGAACCAGGAGTCCTGCAAAACTTGGCATCGAGATACCAGCTCAATGAAATATACGTAAGATTTTAATATTGTAATATTCATTTTGAATTCGTGTTTATTCTATGTTCAACTCGGTTAGAGAATATTGATTGCTGCAGCCATGGGTGGCTCTATCATAATATTATACTGTTATATTATGTCAGACGTACACTGGAAGCATTCTTATTGCCATCAATCCATTTCAAAGACTGCCTCACTTGTATGATGGCCACATGATGGAACAATACAAGGGCGCGCCATTTGGCGAATTGAGTCCTCACGTGTTTGCCATTGCAGATGTTGCTTTCAGGTATTTCTATGTTGAATAATCATTCTGCACTGCTCTTTCATAAAAAGATTAGGCTAATTATACTAACTTGATTGAAACAAAATAGGGCAATGATCAATGAGGGAAAAAGTAACTCCATACTGGTCAGTGGAGAAAGTGGTGCTGGTAAGACCGAAACTACTAAAATGCTTATGCAGTACCTCGCCTATTTGGGTGGCCGTAAAGGCACGGAAGGGCGAACTGTAGAACAACAAGTTCTTGAGGTAAGACAAAAATAAAAATAAAAAATCCAATTATTGGTTTTATGCTTGTCAACACTGTTAAACTTGCACGACCTTATACTTTCAAGAGTACCGATTCTGAATGCTTAAATTTCATATCGGGAAAGTCTTTATGACTTCATGGCTTCATGCAAATGATACATGAAAGTAAGTTCTTTATATAGTAATATCCTAACGTGAATGTTGACATTAGTGTAATTTAAAGAAAACAAGGTGTTTTAGTTGTATTTCTAAGTTGGAGTGGTAAGATAAGATCAAACTTATAAAACTGCATTGAACTGTTTACTTCTTTCTTTTATTGTCCAAATTATGGGTTTTTTTTAAACAAATAAAAACTTCAATAAAGAACGTTAGAATGTGAAGCTTAAAAATAAGTTCAAAATTCTGTAATGCCGTTCTATACTTTCAAACTTATAACTAGGTATATGCTTTCTTTTACTTCTTGTGTTCTTCATAAACTTTTATCTATTATACATCTAAAGTTCACTGATTGGTTCTTTGCAGTCAAATCCCGTACTTGAAGCATTTGGGAATGCAAAAACTGTCAGAAATAACAATTCAAGGTGAGATACTGCTCGAATCCGGATGTGAACTATTGCTATTATTTGATAACATTTACAAATTAATTTGGCAGTCAGTAAATTTAATGCTAATTCATATATAATGGTGCAGTCGATTTGGTAAATTTGTTGAAATTCAGTTTGATAAGCATGGAAGAATATCAGGAGCAGCAATTAGGACATATCTTCTTGAGAGATCTCGTGTTTGCCAAGTTTCAGATCCCGAGCGTAACTACCACTGCTTCTATCTTCTTTGTGCAGCACCACAGGAGGTGTTCTTCGTTCACAACATCATTCTTTATTTAGCTTATAATTGGGGTTGATACTTGGCTAGTTTATATTTATCATTGAAGTTTTTAATCTTATCAGGAAGTTGAGAAGTATAAGTTGGGACATCCTAAAACATTTCGCTATCTAAATCAATCGAATTGCTATGAATTAGTTGGTATAAGTGATGCACAGGAATATCTGGCAACAAGGAGGGCCATGGATGTTGTTGGAATAAGTCAAAAAGAGCAGGTAAAATCCTATAACCGGTATCTTTTTGCTGCCCCTTTTGTTCTATCAGCACATACATAAACCCTATTGCTCTCTCAGGACGCTATTTTCAGAGTTGTGGCCTCTATTCTTCATCTTGGCAACGTTGAATTTTCTAAAGGGAAAGAAATTGATTCATCAGTTCTTAAGGATGATAAATCAAAATTCCATCTTCAGACTGTGGCAGAGCTTCTCATGTATAACTAGAGTATCTTTCTTTTTCAATTTCTCATAGCAATGTATTAGTTTCCGATTTGATTTTTTCTTTTATTTTTTGATTCTTAAGGTGTGATCTTAATGCACTGGAAGATGCAATACTGAAGCGTGTTATGGTTACTCCGGAAGAAGTTATCAAGAGAAGTCTTGATCCTGATGGTGCAGCAGTTAGTAGAGATGGGTTAGCCAAGACGATGTATTCTCGCTTGTTTGACTGGTATAATGCTAGTTTTATTCCTGGTGTTGTACATGGATAGTTTTGTTCCCTGGTTTAGTCAAATTGATACATTTATAAATATCTACAGGTTGGTGGACAAAATAAATAATTCAATTGGGCAAGATCCAAATTCAAAATGTCTGATTGGTGTTCTTGATATATATGGTTTCGAAAGTTTTAAAAGTAATAGGTAAGCATGGTTGATGATACAAAGATGATTGTGTCATTTAACTCATTAGTAACACAACTAACCACTTACACATGCAGTTTTGAGCAGTTCTGCATTAATTATACGAATGAAAAGCTGCAACAACATTTTAACCAGGTACACCTGTTGACCGTTTTAGCAGAAGATTGTAAATCAGTGTTTCAACATATAACGGAAATTCTGTGAAAATTTTCAGCATGTTTTCAAGATGGAGCAGGAGGAATACACAAAAGAAGAAATTGACTGGAGCTACATAGAATTTGTTGATAACCAAGATGTCCTAGATCTTATTGAAAAGGTTCCTCAATTCAGTATTATATTGTAATTCTATGGACTGTTAGTTATGTTCTCTGAAGCTTATACATGACAAAGACTTGGTGCAGAGACTGAAACTGCATATAAACTTGAAGTATTGCAAGGAAAACTAGTTGGCCATAAGTCAAAATTGACGTCTACCTTGCATTTGTTGAAATTCCCGACTTCATAGAGATCCTCCTTCTAGATAACTCGTCTGTGTAAAATCAGTACATTTTTCAAATGCCATGAATTATTTTCCTGAAGCTCAGAAACATGCATCTTCTGCATTGTCAAGATTTGAGACGTATCTTTTCAAATACTAATCTGATGCAGTTGTTTACCATCATTACCTGTTTGTCAATTATGTTTTTATTTCTTTAATTCAGTTTTTTATTTCATTGTGAAAACACTGCATCCTGAAGCAATATTTTTTATACTACTGTTTTTGCCTGGATTTTGCAGAAACCTGGAGGGATTGTTGCTCTTCTTGATGAGGCCTGGTAGAATCTATAATTTAGTTACTATGCATTCTTAATGTGCAATTTAATGTGGGAACTTTTACTTGTCTGCTCACACATAGCTAGCAAAGCATATTTGATTTTATACTTCACATTACAACAACTAAAATTATGTTTCTTTGTAATGAATCTTTTTTTTTCTTTCTTGTTCTGTTTCCAGCATGTTTCCGAAGTCAACTCATGAAACATTTTCACAAAAGCTTTATCAGACATTCAAATCCCACAAACGTTTTGTCAAACCAAAATTGTCTCGTACCGATTTTACAGTTGCTCATTATGCTGGGGAGGTAATCTAAATTACATACTCTGTTGTTAATCCAGTTAGGTGTTTCTAGTTTGGTCTTCTGGTGCATTGAAGATTTTCATCCCTTTTTCTCCTTCCAGGTTCAATACCAGTCTGATCAATTTTTGGATAAAAACAAAGATTATGTAGTTCCTGAACATCAAGATTTGTTATGTGCTTCCAAATGTCCATTTGTAGCGGGCCTTTTTCCTCCAATCCGAGAGGAGTCAACCAAATCTTCTAACAAGTCTTCTAAGTTTTCATCAATAGGTTCTCGTTTTAAGGTACTTTTAATATATTTTCTAACAGCTCAATGCATTGGGTTCTTCTAGAAATAGATTATCAAGGTGCACATTGCCAAAGGTTTGAGCTTATGAGATCCTTAATGGTGAAGAAGATCGAAACTGATGTTTTGATTAACTAGTACAGCTACAACTTCAACAATTGATGGAGACGCTGAATTCCACAGAACCTCACTACATCAGATGTGTGAAACCTAATAACCAACTTAAACCTGCTATTTTTGAGAATGTCAATATCATGCAGCAACTACGTTGTGGTGTGAGTATGATTAAGATGCAGCTACTGAGTTTTCCCATCATTCATAATTCATTGATTGCATAATCAGTTAATCTTTTTTTGGTCAACTAACAGGGTGTGTTGGAGGCAATTAGAATCAGTTGTGCCGGATACCCAACTCGCAAGTCATTTTATGAATTTCTTAATAGATTCAGTCTTCTTGCTCCTGAGGTCCTGGAAGGGAAGTAAGTGCATCTTTACGTTCAACGATGTTTTGGGTGTTACTAATCTGCTGAACTTACACCTTCTTTATCCTATAATATAAGCAGCACTGATGAAAAAACAGCATGCAAAAAGCTTTTGGAGAAAATGGGTCTTGCTGGGGCTCAGGTGATGTTAATTTTGTCTTGCCGCTGACAAAATTCTTGTTTTATTTATTAAGTATCAAGCAAAGAAATCTATAATTATTCAGTTTGCCCTGATATATATTTTCTTTCCGTGAGAGCATACAAATAGCAATTAAAATCATCTCGCTGTACAATAACTGTACTTCAATGTTTTTAGTGTTCCATTTATTATCTTCTTGATTCAAAATTAAACATTTTGGCCCGACACAGTATGCTTTCTCCCTCCAAAATGGGGCAGGGAAGGGAAAAAAATGTATTTGCTCATTTATGTGACAATTATATAATTGTCATATGCTATCTTTTATTTGATATCCTCTTACTTCGTAATAGTTTGCTATTTTTTCTAATCTAGATACACTATAAACGTTGTCTTCAATGATTGCAGATCGGAAAAACAAAGATCTTCCTGAGAGCTGGTCAGATGGCTGAGCTAGATGCCCGCAGAGCATTCAAACTTAGTAATGCAGCAAAGACAATTCAAAGGAAGATTAGAACTCACAGTGCTCGGACACATTTTCTTGCTTTGCAGAAGTCAGCAATTTGCATACAGTCCCTATGTAGAGGTTTGTTATTAAACATTTTGACTCGTTGAAATTTACTTTAAGTTAACTGTTGCTCCTTTTGTACTCTTTTGCTGACTTAAACGTTCTAGTTTATATAATGCATACAGCTTAATCTTGATTGATAGGATTTCCATTATATATCCATAATGCATATCTCATTTGGATTGACCATTCTTTTTCCATGACTATCAGGAAGACTTGCTTGCAGAGTATTTGATTGTATGAAAAGGGAGGCTGCTTCTCTCAAAATCCAGACAAGTTTGAGAGGACATTTGGCCAGGAAGAACTACACATCACTCAAATACTCAGTTGTCATACTGCAGACAGGGATTCGGGCAATGGCTGCTCACAAAGAGTTCAGATATAAAAATCAAACCAAAGCTGGAACTATTATACAGGTGACTGACTATTCTTTTGGTCAAAATGTCTAGACTAATCGATGTCCTGTCCTTAATGAAAATGATATTTTCAGGCTCACTGGCGCAGTCATAGAGATTTTGCGTACTACAAGAGACTCATAAGGGCATCGATTGTGACGCAATGCAGATGGAGGGGAAGAGTTGCTAGGAAAGAGCTTCGGAAACTAAAGATGGTAGGTGGATCTGTTCTTACAATACTAGCAGTAAAACTGTTGTATACCTATAAACTATCAGTCTCTCAACATTTGCAATGCTAGTGTATGCAATGATAGAATTTGATCCAATGATTTAATTTAGATGCTGTTCTCATTACTTATACAGAATATTGGGATATGCATATGCCTATAGCATGACAGTGTCTTTTGCTGTCGTTGGATACAATTACATTTGAATTTTGCCAGTTAGGTAAAGCATATGGACTGTTGGGTGGGATTGTGATGATATAGATTTTTCGAGTGAATGCATATTGTAGGTTGAATGAAAGGAGATTATGTGTTTTAGATTTACTACCTTTATTCAGATTACAGAATATTTACTATGTGAACTTTTCATCCCTGAAAATTCTTTTTATCACACAGTTCTGATAGACATTTTAAAATGTGTAGGCTTCAAGAGAAACAGGTGCACTAAAAGAAGCAAAGGATAAGCTTGAAAAACAGGTGGAAGACCTTACACTGCGTTTACAGCTGGAAAAACGTTTGAGGGTAAATACAAAACATATATGTACAAGTATATAATTAAATGTTGTACAATCTAGCATGTTACAATGCCAGGATAGTTTTGTGAAGTGGGTTGTGTAGTTTTTAATGGTCTTCCACACATTTTTATCAACTGAATCATGGAGGCATCATCAGATAGGCCGAACTTTAGTTTTATGTAGTCATGTAGCTTGCTTTTTGCTTATTACCAAAATTGAGTATCCGTGCACAGACTGACTTGGAGGAGGCAAAGGGACAGGAAATTGCAAAGTTGCAGCAGTCATTGCAAGCTATGCAAAGCAAAGTGGACGATACAAATGCATTACTTCTCAAAGAACGTGAGGCCACTCAGAAAGCAATTGAAGAGGCCTCCTCAATCGTCCAAGAAACTCCCGTTCCAGTAGAAGATACAGAGAAAATTGACGCTCTAACTGCAGAAGTTGAGAACTTGAAGGTAATGCAAGTTAAACGTGATGTTATTCCCTCTCCCTATTTAATCCCATTTAGCATACTCTAGTAGTATTCCTCAAAGCTATATATGGTCTTCGAATTCATAGGAATTGTTGCAATCGGAAAAAGAAAGAGCTGATACTTCTGAAAGAAAAGCTGCTGAAGTCCTAGAATCAAGCAACGAAAAGAGTCAAAAGTTAGAAGAAACTGAAAAACGAGTTCATCAACTTCAGGAATCATTGAACAGGTAGCATAATTCTCGTTAGTATCTTCTCGATTATCCTTGTGATTGGCTTATTGTCATCTTTCATGTTTTTGTTCTGAATAACTCTCATCTATTTGATCATTATGTATGAATCCGACTAATTGGTAAACTGCTTAAAATGTTTACGGTTAAATATATGATATTGTAAATCATTAGATTATAATGAATCCTGTCGAAGAATGAAAACAAGTTTTATGTGCCTTTTGTTTATTTAGGATTTGACCTGAGAGTTATGGTAAGTTTCCATTCCTCAATATAGAATACTTGCTTATAATAACAAAACAGATTATAGTTGTTGATAAGATCCTTATTGTGTATCTCAGTTAAGAAGATCATTTGCGGATTAAAATATATCAGAAAACGAGCAAGGATGATGAGGTTCCTAAATAGTTTCATCGGTAATTATGTATATACTTTGATCTGACAAGTGAACTTAGACAGAACCCTCGAAAAAACTATAAAGATGCAAAATAGAAAAAAATATGGCAAGTATTGAAAGATAGTACTTAATAGAGAAAAAAATACACTCTTTATATTAGAAACTCTCTAATTTGGTACAGAGTGCTTGCAAGCTCTCACTGGTCTCCATACAAGTACTCTATAGCTCTCTTTACTTAGACCTCTCTTTGTATGATTCATCCTATCCAATGATTAGGATAAGCCCTCTAGAATTCTCTACGAATGCATATTCCAAGAACCACCAACCTAAAAATATCCAAATAATCAAACTAAACGAACGTATATTCAAACTACCCAAATCCCGATAAATTGGATGCAAATATCAAATATCATAATCCATATCAACTGAATGCAACTATCAAATTCTAAAATCCATATCAACAGGTTACAAATACCAAATTCCAATTACCAAATTCCACATCAAGTAGATGTAATTACCAAATTCCGAATTCGGAATTCAAAATTATGTTATTCCAGATGAACTACAAACAAAACAAACCAAATTCCTGAACACTTAGATCCCAATCAACCCAAAACCAAATCAGAGAAAGCAAATTCCAAATTATTAAATTACCTAAATCTAAAATCAAACAAATTTTAAATTGCCTGAATGCAAAATTTAAAAAAAGTGGGAAAATCAATAAAATCCAAAATCTCAACTTGGACAAACCTATATGCCAAGATTCCTCCATATATTCATCAAAATCTGACTTCAATAACAACCAATTTTGCCCCAACTACCTTTGCTACAAATGGAACAAAAAATAAAATCTTCATTATTTTTCAGCAATTACTTTTTGTGGTAAAAATATGATCCTTTACCATCTATGTCATACATCTTAATGACCCAAACAACCCTCATCTTCCCTGGAATTACTGGACTATTCTTATTAGCTACAAAAAATTTGCTGCCTCTAGCAGCTACAAAGTGAAAATTTTCAGCATCAATCACAATTATAAACAATAACAAATAGACTATAAAATCCTAGACTTTAACCATAGCAATGGAAAAGACCAAACTACCCTTTATAATATACTATATAACAATTTTGATTTCTTTGACGTTGTTTGCGAGTTACACTTTAAATTATTCTATTATGAATTTTCAAAATTGTTAGTAGTTTATTAATGGTTCGTTTTTGTAGCTTTTAATTTTTTGATTTATTTTATTCGTTTGTGGTGGGGCATGCGCCTCAAAATGCCTCGAAGCTTAGGCCTCGACTCGCAAGGGAAAAAAAGCTACCCCATTTTCCTTTTTAAACATTGTTGTCATTTGACTAATATAAGATATGATCTAGTGTGCCTCAGGATGATATATAGCATGTCAGGACAATTTTCGGAGCTGAAAATGATTTTATGTGCCCCAACCAACTTGAGTTCAACTTCCAGACTCGTTGCTAGAGATGATGATGATACATCTACTTCTTCTGATACTATGTCTAGTGACTCAGATTTCACCTTTCCAGCTCCTGTTACAACTCCAACAAATCTTTCTTCCTTCAATCCTGGTGCTTTCCAGCTCATAGTTCAGGATCTTTCTGCAGCTGAAAACTCAGGTCAGTCTAGTTTTCTTAAGAGTCCCCCATATACAATTAAAACTCTCTTGACATTGATCCACCAACTTTTTATCCTCACTACCAAGATTAAAAAGCTTTCCACTTAACCATTTGTCCCATTTTAGTCTTGTTATTGTAATGACCACAGACTTTCTCCTAAGGCCTTTCGCTCAAGGGCTACTCCATTCATCGTTAGCATACGTACTGTCCAATAGGAGTTAGACCCCAACATAGATTTAATTCGTGTCTTGAGTGATTTGAACCTAAAACCTCCCCTCAGGAAGAGGAACTTAAGTTGTATTAGGTCTTGGATTCAAAGTGCTAGGGATGTGAATTAAATCCACGTTGGTGTCTAACCCCCAGTAGACAGTACATATGCTAACATGTACAGCATAGCCCCTAAGAAAAAGGCTTGTAGAGAAAGTCCGTGATCCTCTTACTAAAAACATATTTGTTCCAACTCTCAATTCACTTTTGTTTTAGCAAGTTTGCAATAAGAAACTCTATTATACATTTCTTTTTCTCTTGATGGTTGGCTTGTGCAGGAACCGAACACTGGGAAAGTGACCGGGAGGGGGCATTCGATGACTTCTTCTGATGCAAGTTTCTCTTTCCATTTGTTGTATCTATTTCTGTCCTAGCTTGAGGTAGTTATCTAGATATTAACATTTTGACATTTTAGTATGTACGTCAGTTCACATAGAATGTCACCTTTGTCCTGTCTTGTACAAATTATGTGTATATAAAATTTGCAAACATCAGCTTTTATAATATTTTTTCCATAATATATAGCATTACATTCATTTTCCAATTCTAATATACCACTTGCATTGGCTTGATTGAGTGCAATTATGACTTCAATTTGAGATGAATTCATAATGTGAATTAGAAATTTTATTCCCTTTTCTATAACTATGATGCTAATTAGAATATTTGTACGTAAATCTGCACATATATTTTATAGAAAAAAAGAAGATAACTTTGGTTCAAAACATATCAGTTTGGGATTAAGCTTAGATTCGAGCTTGTTAAATTTCTAAGATGATCACTCGGTGTGTCTAGTAGGCCATTTTTTTTTATATATTTTATCCGGTGGTTCCTTTTTGTTATCTTGCGGTCCCTCATAATAGTTGGCTAGCTTTCTAAGTAAATGTCCACGGAAGAAAGATGTTAGTCCCCCTCCCACATCAGTACCAGTGGACGGCCAGCATAAAGCATCATCGTCACCTGATCCTCTAATGTCAGCTTTTCTTCTTCCATCTCTTCAACCTTTGGTAAGCTTTTGAATTTCAGATTCTGTCAGATTTTCTTAATAGGCATGTATCTTCTCATTAGTTCTTATTGTGCCTTCCTTTATATCCTTCTTGTTCGTATTCCGCAGATAGGTTGTTAAATAGTTATCGGGTAAATTTCCATTCGCAAAACTATACTTTTAGCCTTTATTCGGGATTGATTATTAGTAACTTTTTAGAAGAAATAGTAGTGGGGACCATGGAACTTGTGAATAATAATGAGTAGTAATTTTGAATGTTGGTTGAGATTAAAGTTTGATTTTGATTGGAAATAAAAGGTAGAATTTAAGTAATATAGAATGAAAGCCAAAGGCTTACTCTAGTGTTAATCTAACTATACTTCAATTGATTTGAATCATATAGTTCCGTCCAATTCCATCACTTAGGTTGATGGAAATCAAGGATGTAGCAGTCAATAATGGTGGTCATCATTTATTTAATTGAAGTTGCACTTATTCTACGTGAGCAACTAAAGGCCACAAGTGACGACCCCCATTTATTGACTCTCACGCCATACACGATAATGAATCATAAGTTTCCAAGATGTAATTTGCTATTTTTTCTATCATTAGTTGAGGGTCATTCCTTCCAAAATGTTTTGAATCATCTTGAAGACTGTATATGAGGATCCTGATTCATTTCTAGGACAAAGTACGCAAGGTGAAATATAGTGACCTATGGTTAAGACCAAGATGGACTTGTAAAAATCTCAACTTAAACCACAAGGTCAACAATGGGCTTTGAACAAAGTTTATGAATCCTCCTCTCTTTCCATTATTTTTTTTGGTCGAGTTCCGGAGGAGTCAATTGATAGAATAAAGGTGAAGAACTATCCCCCTTAGTTGCTTCCTATTGTATACCTACTGTAAGGTAAATTTCAAACTCTAACCTTTTGACATTCTAGAAGTATGAACACTGGCAACAGGAGCACATCCATAAACTCTCTCTAGACTATCTCTTTAGTCGCTGTAAAGAACAATTCATCAATTATGAATGATCTCGATCTTTTTGCTTTTTTGTTGGTGGTTTAGCTAGAAAAATTTCATGGCTGTGGTTGAATATTTTCTGACCAATTTAGATTTTGAAAGTCGCTCAAGTTTTATTTACAGATGAAGTAGTCCTCCAATGGCATATCAATTTAAAACTGTATTTATAATAGGATTCTGAGAATGCTGTAGCCCCATATTCATTAAGATGAATGTGCTACTAGCTACTGGGTCTTACGATTTCACATGTCAAAGAAAGAACTGGTTTATGGATGTTAATTCGTATTAGGTTATGTCAAGTTCTGAGCTGGAGTACTGCTCTATTGATCCAGTGGCATACAAAATACTATTCCTTTCTTTCCTTTCTCTTACAAAAGCACGTGTCTTAGCTGTATCGAGATAAGAAAAAGGTAAAAGGCTCTTCTAACAGTAACCTTCCACAAAGGTGTTGTTCGCTTTGTAATTTCTCCTATTGTTTTGTTCATCTTCTATTGAATCAATGGGAAGTCCTATTTGGAATTCTATCAATAATGATGCAAGAGGAAAAAGAACTGTAATCCGATGTTGCGGCTAGTTATTAATATAATATATTCGTATTAAGTAATTATTTTCTAATTAGCTTTCAGTGACAAGCACCATCGATGAGGAAGAAAAGCTTAAAAACTAATATGGGAAAAGGAGAAAGCTTTGATTTCCTTGTTCAAATTATATTAATTAAATAAATTCTGTGAGTATTCATTATATGCCACATGTTTTTATAGCCTTGTTAACTACATCCGAACTTTTTGTACATTGTCATCAGGGAAAGTAATATTTATACTTTATTAATCTCTTCTAACTGAAATTTTATCTGTACTTGTGAAAATGGTATGCATTAGTAACATCCCGAAGAATGAATTCTCAGAAATTCTGAGATCTGTTCCTTATTAGTCTTGTATATATTTTTTTCGCATTCACAATTTTCATTTTTATTTACTCGGTCCTTTCTGAGTAACATGAAACTATAATGTTTCTTATATTAGTTGTGGATAGCCATCTACTTGGTTTCTTAGTTATCCTTTTTTATCTCTGTGCTACAAAATGGAAACTTCTGCTTAAACATTTAACAGGGTACGGTTAATGGAAATCTTGTCCTTTTATTAGGCTTGAACAGAAGCTCACCAACTTAGAATCAGAAAATAAAGTTCTTCGCCAGCAGGCTCTAGCCATGGCTCAGAACAATAAATTGATATCCAGAAGTTCAAGGTCAATTATGCAGGTACTGTAGAGCTAATAGTTTCAATAAATATGACCGCAAACACGTTATCGGGTTACTTACCTCTCTTCTTTGTTCTCGTGATGTGCAGAGGGTAGAAAGCTCAAAGACAAATGTTGTAAGTAAAATACATTTATGATACAATTAACTCTATTATAGATGCAGTCCGAGAATGCTTATACCTTGAAAATATTGTAATAGGACTTGTATAGTACTTCAATGAATGCTAGAGATCAATCAGATATGGACGACAGACCTCAAAAATCGCTCAATGAGAAGCAACAAGAGTATCAAGATTTACTGATACGATGTGTTGCACAGCATTTAGGCTTTTCTAAAGGCAGGCCTGTTGCTGCTTGCATTATCTACAAATGCCTTCGGCAGTGGCATTCGTTTGAGGCTGAGAGAACAAGCATTTTTGACAGGATAATACAAACCATTGGTGTTGCTATTGAGGTAGGAATCATCGCATCTAAATGCATGTTCTGCAAATCCGCTTACTGGTTTTATTTAGCTTAACAGGCCTTTATAACTTTACCAACTTTTGAATTGAAGACTCAAGACAACAATGATGTGTTGGCTTACTGGTTATCCAATGCATCAACTTTGTTGTTGATGTTGCAACGCACAATGAAAGCTGGAGGAGGTGCTGGTGCAACACCACAACATCGGCGATCGCCATCAGCCACTCTATTTGGAAGAATGACTCAGGTAAATAAAAATTTCATTTCAAACCACGTTTGGCTAAACTGAAAAGAAGTTACTTATTAGTTCCAAACATGTTCGCTTTAGTTACTCTATCTTATTTTAAAGGAAATGTACTTTTTTTTTTTTATGAAGTAACTTTTACCTTACTATCAAATTAAGTAAATCTGCTCATTTTCAAGTTTGATCAATAAAAAAATTAATTTTTAAACACTTATTTATTTACTTCAACACAAACACTGAGCTTGCCAAACATGCTCATATTTGTTTTTCATAAACATTTTTTAACCATAACCTTCTATCCCAGAGTTTCCGCAGCACCCCTCAAGGCGTTAATCTTTCTTTACTAAATGATGATTCGGTCGGTACCTCACTTCAAGTAGAAGCCAAATACCCTGCATTACTTTTTAAACAGCAGCTGACTGCATATGTGGAGAAAATATATGGAATGATCCGTGATAATTTGAAAAAAGAAATTTCTCCACTGCTGGGGTTATGCATTCAGGTATTTCTGATTGAACTTAACAAGTCAGCACATTTCAGAAAAGCTGACAACGGAGTTTAGTTTTCATTTTCTCATTTACTACCTCACTTGCTTTATGGGAATTTAATCGTATAGGCTCCAAGAATATCCAGAGCAAACTTAATTAAAGGAACAGCCCGCACACTAGCAAATGCTGCAGCACAGGAGATTTTAATTGCTCACTGGCAAGGAATTGTAAAGAGCCTGGCGAATTTTTTGAACATATTAAAAGCGAATAATGTAAGAATGATATTAGCATTTCGCTTTGTGCTTGTATAGATGTATGGTACTGAATTCCTATCATGTTGGTCATATTAATTGAATGACATAATTTTGATAGATGAAATCAATATTATTATCCTGCAGAATTACCTTGTCAATTGTAATCTGCCTTCTGGAGTTGAAGTTGATGAAATCTGTGTGCATATACGCATACAAATTTGGTCGACCTCCGAAGTCTGTAGTTATTCATCAAAAGTACAGATTTATGTTGTTACATGAACTAGTTTGTTACCAATGAGAATTTCGATGAAATTTTAGTTTTACCTTTGATGATATTGACTTCTCAATATCACATAATCTTTTATATCTTTATTTACGTTCAATTTTTGGTATGCTGTTGACATAATTTATTGAATATCTATCTTCAGGTACCTCCATTTTTGGTTCGAAAGGTGTTCACACAAATATTTTCTTTCGTCAATGTGCAGCTATTTAACAGGTATTACACTTCAGGCATATACTCATGCGCATATCCTATGGACACTCATCCATCAGTCAAAAAACCTATGTTGTTTTCCTTGTTACAGCCTTTTACTAAGACGAGAATGCTGCTCATTCAGCAATGGTGAATACGTCAAGGCTGGATTAGCTGAACTGGAACACTGGTGTTACAAGGCGACTGAAGAGGTATTTCGTTTAGCGAATTTATGATATTGCTCACTTTTTATATACCTGCTAAATTGGAAGCATACTCCAGTATACAGGTTCCTCTTGGGATGAGCTCAAGCATATAAGACAAGCTATTGGATTTCTGGTATGGTTCCCATTTCTTCCAGTCACTTGATAAAAACATTCCTATTGCTAGTGTTAAATAGAAAACAGAGCAAATTGTCCGCCAAATATTTTTGTCCTTCACCCAAGGTATCCATGCATACCATAGATGGAATCATGCACTAACAAATAGGCAATGGGAAAAAGTACATGGAATGAGGAAATTTATGAAGCAAATGAGTTAGTGTATCACAAGCGATTTGGCTAATTCTTGCTTTTACAAAATAAGATTATTTTGGGGAAATGCAGTTCCCTTTCTTTTATGGTATGCTTGGTTAGGACTGGATATCATTGGAGTGTACTAGAATCAAAAAACTTGAAAACTTGTTAATTGTATTGTCTAGTCTGGTCAATAGACTCAATACTGCATAGCAAACATAACCTCGGTTGTTAAATGAATACACAGTGTTGTCACTTCTAAATTCATGCAAGTTTTTGACAAGTGCATGAGTGTCCCCTCTTAGTGCTAATCAAATAAAACTCTTACAAAGAAATAAACAATAAATATTTGAGAATATAATCATTCATTACCCCAAAGTTGTAAGGCCTAATAATCATTTTGAACCTTCTGATTACTGAAACAGGTCATACATCAGAAGCCAAAGAAGACTCTGGATGAAATAAGTCATGATTTATGCCCCGTAAGAAGTTATACATACTTTTCTTAAATAATCATTGCTCTGAAATCCGCATATTTCTTGCTCACAAATTCTCTGTAATCTACAGGTGCTCAGCGTTCAGCAGCTCTACAGAATCAGTACCATGTACTGGGATGACAAATATGGCACGCACAGCCTTTCCCAAGATGTAAGTTCTAATTGATGTTTTATAAACATGCTGTGAATTATGAACATATTATCTGATAAAAATTACAATATAAAAAGTTAACATGTAACCTTCAAGTGCTATTAATGATATGTATTGAACCTCCCCCATTAGAAAGCTTATGCAATTAGAGAGGGGATACATTTATTTATTTAAATTTAGTCTTCAACTTGCCCCTTTCATGCAGGACATTCATCTTTTACCAAAGACTTCATAGGTGCACAATTTTCATAAATGAGTGATGGAGAGACTTAAACTCCACTTGCTTTGGTACTGTGCCGAATAAAATGTGTGTGTGAGAGAGAGACAGAACACATTTATTTCAATTTAGTTTTGAACAGTATGATCAGATACTGTGACTTCTCATTAGTACTTTTTATACACTTCCTTGGATGGAAAGATTATAGATGTTTCTTCTTAATGGGGATCACCTAACTCTATATTTATGTTGTTCACCACTCACTCACTTGCATAATCACTTCACCACAAAAATTTCGTATGTTGTCAGTGTTAGAAACCTGCAAGGCAGAGTATATTAATCAGTAATTTTGTCTTTGTTGACTCTCATTCACAGGTTATATCTAAGATGAGGGTATTAATGACTGAGGATTCAAACAACGCCGTCAGCAGTTCGTTCCTGCTAGATGATGACTCAAGGTTGAACATAAAATGTTTCGCATCCTATTTATGCTGTTGCATTTTATATTCTCTTGACTTTTTTAAGTTGGAATTTTTTTCTTTAGTTGTTTATAACTTAATCTCCATTCAATATTGCAGCATACCTTTCTCAGTGGACGACCTTTCCAAATCAATGGATCGATTTGATATTTCAGACATTGAACCACCACCACTTATTCGTGAGAACTCGGGCTTTAGCTTTTTATTGCCACAAGCGGAATGATCACTTGCAATCAAATTTCCACCTAAGTGTTTGCCAATACATTCTTGTTAGCGGGACACAAACCGAAAAGGTATATTTCAATAATGTTGTGAATGAACCATAGAGAACCTCGCGTTGTTTCATGGGAGTTATTCCATCTGGCTAAGACGAGAACCACGTGCTCAGATTGGTAGACGAAATTCAAATTGGCATCCATTGTGGTTGGTCCAAGTGCTTATCTGTTTGTCCAGGTGGAAGATCAAACTAATGATCAAACCAGAGAAGTTTTTTAGTTCGCTTTTGAAAAAGTGAGAGATAATATTTAATCTTTGATGACTTTCTATAAATCTTTTTAGTGCCCTTCTTCCTTTCTTTTATATTGAAAATCTCGATATAAAAACTTGTAATGATGCATGAGTTATAAACCAAGCACTTGATACGTTGAAACTATAGAAGCCGTCCTTAGTTACGGATTTTGCAGTGTATTTCCTAATAAATAGTAAATGCAAAACTTCTTTTTGATTCTTACTTTCGAAGAAGTGTTAGTTTGAGCATCTCAATTTATGCTACTGGTATTTGCTGCTTTTGCAATGATATCTTTGTGCCTTGAACTTGAAGTAGAAAAATATGGTTCTTCAGGACATGGCTGGAAAGGGACATGACTGCCATTTCCAACTTGAATGCCTTTGGGACATGACCAAAGAACAGTTTTAGATTTAAACTGTATTGTTTGGTAACGTGTCTGAAAGATGGGTTTATGAGGGATACTTTTTGTTATTTTATTTTAGCGTGATGGGACTAGAGATATTTCCTTTTATTATTTGTCGTTGATATTACAGGACTAAGCAGAAAATTGATGGATTTGGCAAATTCATATCGTTAAATTAGTTAATTGTCTTGGAATGAGGATAAAGTACGATAAGATGTTTGTTGAAATATGTTTTACAAATATTTAAAAGGATTCTGATTCTTAAGAATGACAACATCTCGATAAAACATATCAGAAAATATAGGAGTATATCAAAATTAACAAAGTGATAGGGTTATAGATTTGATTGTTTTGGTTTTTATGTAGATTTAAAATGGGCAGAACGCAACAACAAATAAAGATCGATTCCAAATTTATGGGGGAAAAATCTTTACTTGGCCACCTTTTCATCCTATAGGCTACATCATCTAGTGAAACCAGAGGCAGACGGAGGGGGTGGCCTGGGGATCACGTGACCCCCAACTTTCCTCCTTTTTTTCACCACTAAATTTTCTATGTTTTTGTTTCAATTTTCGAAGTCATTATGAAATGTGAAACGAAATCGAAATATTGCATTCTTAATATCATTTGAAGTGCTCACGATCTAGTTTTCTATGTCGTTAATGATATACGAAACGATCAATCGTAGCAAATGTTACGATATGTCAAAGTAGGCCGTTTAAAATTAGTATTTCGAAAATTTCGATAACATACTAATTTTAAAAATTCTCCGACCATCGTATGTTAATCAAATTTACAAATTGCTTATGTCATCTCAAAACTTATTTCGAGAACTACATTATAGGAAAATCGAATAGTCCAAATAGATATCGAAAATAGTTAAAGATGCATTAAACGCGAGCATTAAAGAAAGACGTCTAACTCGTATTTTCTTTAAAAAAAATTTAATTATTTCATTAACGTTTATTATTTTTGCAATACAAATTTTTCAATGTAATTTCATCATTTTATTAAGAAATTTTATATAGAATATGATATCAAAAAATTTCGAAATTTTAGATCTGAAAAAGTCATATTCCATGTAAATTTTCGAACGCAAAATTACATGGGATATGATTTTTTCAGATATAAAATTTCTCCTAATTTCTTTGCAAGTTCAATTGTGCCCTCAGCTTTAAACTTTTGCGTCCGCCCCTGAGTGAAACTGATTTTCATCATCATTGTCAAACGCTGTCTTAAAAACTCAAGCCATTCAAATCCCCTAGCTATACTTTTTTGAAAAAGTTAATGAATAATAATTTTTTATGTCACTGCATGGGTTGTCAATAGCTACTTAATAATTCCATTCACTAGATTTAACCTGCATTTAGCAAAAATGGAACCCCGCTTATTGTTTAAGCAATCTCCAATTTTAGTAATAGGAATTTACTGATGAACAGTAGCACTTATATAATGCACTCTTATTACAAGCTTGAGTCCAGCTTCAGTATAGAGCAACCCTTCACACAATCACTTTTTTTTTTTTTGCAGAAATCTGCATCTTTTCCTCCCTTTCTGAAAAGGAGTAGTTTTTGTTTTCCTTTTGAACTGGGCTCCTTTTTCTTGTTGTTTTGAAGAGAAATTCATGGAGAAGTTCAAGTGGGATTGTGAGACGTTAAAGGGGAAATGGGATACTGCAAATTTAAGCTTTGAGAAAGATCTTACATTTGGATTTTCATGGCCTCAAAGGAACTACCATTGCAGCTTTTGCAAGAAAGAATTCAAATCTGCACAGGCTCTTGGGGGTCATATGAATGTTCACAGAAGAGATAGAGCTCGAATGAGATTGTCTCCTTCATGGGAATATCCAAACTCAAACCCTAACCCTAGTTTTTCTTCAACATCATCTGCAACTAGGTTTTCACCTTATAATGTGAAAAGTAATACCTCTCTTTCTGCTTTTTCTTCATCAGCAGCTCCATCCACTGATCAGCATTTGCAACGAGACGATGTTGCGAGTCTTCTGGAAGGGAATGTGGACAAGAATCTGAAGAAAGGAGCCTTGCTTCGGGTCAACGATCTAACTGTATTTGCAAGAAGCAATGATCCTGGGATTTGGAAGGCAAAAGAGTTGGTTAAGCTGGATTTGAACAGGGGTTTAGTCCAACATGCAAAGGAGGATTTGGACTTGGAGCTTAGGCTTGGTTACTCTAATTAGAATAAAATTTCCATAGATTATCTGGTATTTGATTTTAACATATGTTTGTTACAAGACTTCTAATTTTTGTGATTACTGGGATGCTGCTTGTGGATTTCCCGCATTTTCTTCACTAGTTTCTAGGAAATCTACAGATGAAATGTAGATCAAGAAATTAAGGTTGGATCTTGAGAAAGTGTATGCACGATACTGCATCATTAATATTGTCAATCAAAGTTCTGTCTGAGTTTCCATTACACAATTGTATTTAGTACTAATATTCTCCTAATTTTAGCAGAATTTGTCTGTTCAATTGTTGTTCTTGCCAACATTGTCATTCTATTAGACAACACTAGACAATACTACTTCCTTAATATGGTCATGTGTATTTAATCCATGTTACAGTCGAAAGTGCAAATTATGTTTTGCTCTCAAAAAACACTGAATTAGGACTCCTAGCATATATACTCCAAATCTAATCAGATAGATTTTATGAAAAAACAATCACGTCTTTCCTTAATGTGTTTACTTCAAAGAATAATAGATCCAAATATCTCAAATATATATAATGAGTAGACTTGCTCACCACTGACGTGGCATTGCCACATTACCCACCATGGATAGGAAATTATTTCTAGAGACATTGCGAAACCCGTCAAATGAGTCATTCCAACACCCGCTGGCAGCTACTTCACCGTATTCCAAATTCAATGGTTTTAATAATAAAACAATCATTATGAGTTAGAAGTAAATTATGCAAGAATTCCCATAGATAAGCACCAATTTTAAATATTTCAACTTTGTGATATTTGGATTCCACTTATAAGGCTCGTTCTTCCAAGAATCAAAGGGCAATGATGAATGCATTAAAGGTGATGAATTACATAGGATTTTTCAGTACTTCAAAATTTAAACTCAAGTTTAATCAGTCTGCTTACAAATCATTAAATTTCTATCAAGAAAAAGGACAATACAGGATAGTTCATATCATATCATGGAGGGGACGTTTAAGACTATTTCTTTTTGTTTAAGATATATATAAATACTCACACAGAGAGACTGCACAGTATATTATATTGTTGTGTAGCATAAATGAAGGATAAACTGCTAGCCCTGGTACATTTTGGCTTGTCATAATTGCAGTGGTATTTTGGTCTGTGCATATGGAAGGGATAATATCAGTTTCCAACATATCTGTTCCTTCGCATCTTCCCAATGGACTTCTTGGTGTCAGTGTTATGATGTCCTTACCCTTTATAGCAATTGATAATTTGATATTTGGCCAATAAATTAGGGTTCACCATGGTAAGTGATTGATTTTAATTTTTTTGATACCCATGTATCCCAACTTAACCGATTAAATCCTGAACCTCTAGTCACCGGCCCCTCAGCGGCTCGAGGAGGTAAACTGCGAGTTATACCCCTGTTGGCTCCCAAGTTCCTGAACTGCTTATACTCCTGGCCCCAAGAGAGCTCTCCTCACTGTCTTCCAGTCATTGTCTTGCCTTCGAGAAAATTCTCCTTCCAAGACTCGTGCCTTTCAGGAATCGAACTCTCCACGCTGGGGTTGCGAGCTCACAAATGCAATTGTTCCACCAACTCGGATGTGTCCCGGGGGGTGATTGATTTTAATTTTGATTTTATGTGTGTGTGTGAGAAAATTACTATAAAAATCTAGAGGTTACATATTCCCTAATTTAATCATTTGACTTCTAAAATGAAGGAATTTGTCCCGAAGGCACAAGGGCTTCATGGCTTCACGCCTATTGTTCACTTAGGTTCCGTTTGATAGCACACATTTTTCATGGAAAATTTTTCAACTTTTGCAGTGTTTGATAGTCCGGAAAAATATTTCTTAACATTCCAAAATTTCCACATTTTTGAGGAAAATAAATTCTTGATAGTTTGGTGGGTAAATATTTTCTAGGTTTTTTTTTTTTGTTTTGCAATTGGAAAAAATTTTAGACACAATGGTAAAAAAAATTTCACTTTTATTGAGAATTTCCATGCAAAACAAAGCCAAACGAAATGTATTCGGTATGGTTAATTTTTTTTTTCAATTTTTTTTTTTTTACAATTGGAACAAATTCTAAACCTAATGGTAGAAAATATTATCACTTTAATGGACAATTTTCATAAAAAAGGAACCAAACGAACACCAAACTTTCAACATTTTCCATGAAAAATTATACTAATCAAACACAATTAATTACAATTCCCAGTAAAATAATTTTTAGACAAATCAATTCCCTATAAAATATTTTCTTTCCACTCATTTTCCACCTTTGCAATCAAACAGACCCTTAGAAGTCCTAGTCTGTAAAGTAGAGTCATTCGACTCGGTTAACCGAAAACTAAATTGTGGATCAAAATTGAGTTAAACCAACGTTCTTCCAGTACATTTAAATTTAAAACATATTTCTTATCTTTTAACCACACAATAGTATAAAAAAAAAAAAACTCTTCTAAAATATATTTTCTCCCAAAATCACATTAAAATGGAGCCCAAATATACTTCTTAAGATCCATATATAATATAAAATAACTAAAAGGAATCCTATCTCGTAGGTGTTGTCATGGATATTCAACATCGCATCTAATTTAATAGATATTTCTTTTAATCATGCTTGGTGTATACCAAGTTTGACGGTCATTCTCCAATTTAAACAAAAAAAAAAAAAAAGGGAGTTTCTCTACCTAGAATTTTTTGAAAACAAAGGCAATGTCGAACTTTGTGTAAAAGAAAGAGTGTACAAATGGCAAAAATCCTATTTTCTTATGTATCCAATAGCTAATAATAAGTCATATTGCAAATTTAGCTGTACTAGTAGACAAACATAAGTAAACAAATAGTATGGAGGGACGTCCCCACCACAGGTGAAAAATGGAAGCCCAAAATAGATGTGTTTATTGGGAGGATGAGAAGCTGCAAAAGGGTATGTTTTAGTGAAAGAGTAGAGGGCAGGCATGGGAATGGGATAAAGGCAAACGTCACCACAATGTATTAAAGGTAATCACTTTCCATTCACTCATTTTCATAATTTCTTCTACTTAGCTTTCATCTGCACACGCCCATGCAATCTACTCATGCTTAAACATAACCATACAAAACCCATATTTTTTCTTTTCTTCAAATTTACAACTTTTGGGTTCAAATAAAATCTTTAATAATGCTTCGTTATACTTTTTTATTTTAAGGAGGTTTAGTTCTTTTAACGATATGTATGGTGCATTGGATGTAACATTGTCGGTCCAAAAAAATAGTCCCTTTTGGAGCTAATATGACTAAAATTAGTTGTACCACTTTGTTTGAATTAATTTAAGAAGATTGGACTTTGGAGTCTCATCTATATAATAAAAGTTTTTGGACCAAATCTAGAGTTTACATATCTATGTTTATTATATTAAATTAGATAAAAGAAGTTGAAATCTTCTTAAATTACTTGTAACAACAAGGGAGTTAAACTAAAACTTTCTTTAATGAGAAGTAATTAATCTTTTGTTTTAAATCCATCACATTAATAAATTGAAAGTTTAAGTGACGTCACTATGTCAGTCCTAATACACATATACACTACTGATCAACCCTCTACGTCCACAAAGACCGTACACCATGACTTGTATAGTCGAATAAGTATAGATTATTATAGCAAACAATTGGCGTGCGAAATCAATACACCTAGATTGGAAGATGACTCAACATATTCGTTTATTTCTCGAAAATCAATATTTCTAAAAAACTCACTCCCATTCATTTTATGATCCTCTACAAATTTTACATTTCTAATTTCGACAATCCTTAGAGCGTGCAAAGAACAATATAATCTATAACCTTTGGAATTCACCAAATAGCCTATGAAAAATCCACTAAGTGTCCTCGAGTCCAATTTCTTTATATGAGGATTATAAACCCTAACTTCAACTAAACAACCTCAAATGTGTGAATGTCTCAAACTAGTTTTCCACCCGTTCCAAATGTCAAATGGTGTTTTAGGAACTACTTGATATAAAACTCTATTTAAAATATACACGACGGTTTTTAAAGCTCCACTCCATAAATGTAAAGAGAGACTCGAATTGTTCATCATGCTCGTCCATTACATTAGATTTGTGTGTGTGTGTGTGTGTGTGAGAGAGAGAGAGAGAGAGAGAGAGAGAGAGAGAGAGAGGGAGAGAGAGAGAGCGAGAGAGAGAGAGAGAGA